CACTGACACTCACACTGACACTCACACTGACACTAACACTCACACTCACACTGACATTGACACTCACACTGACACTCACACTGACACAGACATCGACACTCACACTGACACTCACACGCACACTCACACTGACACTCACACTGACACTGATACTCACACTGACACTCACACTGACACAGACATCGACACTCACACTGACACACTCACACAAACACACTGACACTCACACGCACACTCACACTGACACTCACACGCACACTCACACTGACAATGACACTCGCACTAACATACTAACACTAACACTCACACTAACACTGACACTCACACTCACACTAACACTCACACTAACACTGACACTCACACTGACACTCACACTAACACTCACACTGACACTCACACTGACACAGACACTCACATTGACACTCACACTCACACTGACACTCACACTAACACTGACGCTGACACTCACACTGATACAGACACTCACATTGATATTAACACTCACACTGACACTCACACTGACACTCACACTGACACAGACACTCACACTCACACTGACACTCACACTGACACTGACACTCACACTGACACTCACACTAACACTGACAATGACACACTGACACCCACACTCACACTGACACTGACACTAACACTCACACTGACACTTACACTAACACTGACACTCACACGCACACTCACACTGACACTCACACTGACACTGATACTAACACTGACACTGAAACTGACACTCACACTAACACTGACACTCACACTGACACTCACACTAACACTGACACTAACACTCACACTAACACTGTAACTCACACTCACACTAACACTCACACTGAAACTGACACTCACACTAACACTGACACTCACACTGACACTCACACTGACACTCACACTCACACTGACACTAACACTCACACTGACACTGACACTCACACTGACACTCACACTGACACTCACACTGACACTAACACTCACACTCACACTGACACTGACACTCACACTGACACTCACACTGACACAGACATCGACACTCACACTGACACTCACACGCACACTCACACTGACACTCACACTGACACTGATACTCACACTGACACTCACACTGACACAGACATCGACACTCACACTGACACACTCACACAAACACACTGACACTCACACGCACACTCACACTGACACTCACACGCACACTCACACTGACAATGACACTCGCACTAACATACTAACACTAACACTCACACTAACACTGACACTCACACTCACACTAACACTCACACTAACACTGACACTCACACTGATACTCACACTAACACTCACACTGACACTCACACTGACACAGACACTCACATTGACACTCACACTCACACTGACACTCACACTAACACTGACGCTGACACTCACACTGATACAGACACTCACATTGATATTAACACTCACACTGACACTCACACTGACACTCACACTGACACAGACACTCACACTCACACTGACACTCACACTGACACTGACACTCACACTGACACTCACACTAACACTGACAATGACACACTGACACCCACACTCACACTGACACTAACACTCACACTGACACTTACACTAACACTGACACTAACACTAACACTCACACTGACACTCACACTAACACTGACACTGACAATGACACTCACACTGACACTCACACTGACACTGACACTCACACTGACACCCACACTCACACTGACACCCACACTCACACTGACACTCACACTCACCCTGACACTCACACTGACACTAACACTGACACTAACACTGACACTAACACTGACACACTCACACTGACACTCACACTGACACTCACACTGACACTGACACTCACACTGACACTCACACAGACACGCTGACAATGACACTGACACTCACACTGACACACTCACACTGACACTCACACTGACACTCACACTGACACTAACACCCACACTGACACTCACACTGACACTAACACTCACACTGAGACTGACACTCACACTGACACTCACACTGATACACTCACACTGACACCCACACTGACAAACACACTAACACTGACACACTGACACTCACACTGACACACTGACACTCACACTGACACACTCACACTGACACACTCACACTGACACACTCACTGACACACTGACACTCACACTGACACACTCACACTGACGCTGACACACTCACACTGACACACTCACACTGACACCAACACTCACACTGACACTAACACTGACAATGACACACTGACACCCACACTCACACTGACACTGACACTAACACTCACACTGACACTTACACTAACACTGACACTAACACTAACACTCACACTGACACTCACACTAACACTGACAATGACACTCACACTGACACTCACACTGACACTAACACTGACACCCACACTCACACTGACACCCACACTCACACTGACACTCACACTGACACTCACACTCACACTGACACTCACCCTGACACTCACACTGACACTAACACTGACCCTAACACTGACACACTCACACTGACACTCACACTGACACTGACACTCACACTGACACTCACACAGACACGCTGACAATGACACTGACACTCACACTGACACACTCACACCCACACTGACACTCACACTGACACTCACACTGACACTCACACTGACACAGACATCGACACTCACACTGACACTGACACTCACACTGACACTCACACGCACACTCACACTGACACTCACACTGACACTGATACTAACACTGACACTGAAACTGACACTCACACTAACACTGACACTCACACTGACACTCACACTAACACTGACACTAACACTCACACTAACACTGTAACTCACACTCACACTAACACTAACACTCACACTGAAACTGACACTCACACTAACACTGACACTAACACTGACACTCACACTGACACTCACACTGACACTCACACTCACACTGACACTAACACTCACACTGACACTGACACTCACACTGACACTCACACTCACACTGACACTCACACTGACACTCACACTGACACAGACATCGACACTCACACTGACACTCACACGCACACTCACACTGACACTCACACTGACACTGATACTCACACTGACACTCACACTGACACAGACATCGACACTCACACTGACACACTCACACAAACACACTGACACTCACACGCACACTCACACTGACACTCACACGCACACTCACACTGACAATGACACTCGCACTAACATACTAACACTAACACTCACACTAACACTGACACTCACACTAACACTCACACTAACACTGACACTCACACTGACACTCACACTAACACTCACACTGACACTCACACTGACACAGACACTCACATTGACACTCACACTCACACTGACACTCACACTAACACTGACGCTGACACTCACACTGACACAGACACTCACATTGATATTAACACTCACACTGACACTCACACTGACACAGACACTCACACTCACACTGACACTCACACTGACACTCACACTGACACTCACACTAACACTGACAATGACACACTGACACCCACACTGACACTGACACTAACACTCACACTGACACTTACACTAACACTGACACTAACACTAACACTCACACTGACACTCACACTAACACTGACACTGACAATGACACTCACACTGACACTCACACTGACACTGACACTCACACTGACACCCACACTCACACTGACACCCACACTCACACTGACACTCACACTGACACTCACACTCACCCTGACACTCACACTGACACTAACACTGACACTAACACTGACACTAACACTGACACACTCACACTGACACTCACACTGACACTCACACTGACACTCACACAGACACGCTGACAATGACACTGACACTCACACTGACACACTCACACTGACACTCACACTGACACTCACAGTGACACTAACACCCACACTGACACTCACACTGACACTAACACTCACACTGAGACTGACACTCACACTGACACACTCACACTGACACTCACACTGACACTCACACTGACACACTCACACTGACATTCACACTGACACTAACACTCACACTGACACTGACACTCACACTGACACTCACACTGACAAACACACTAACACTGACACACTGACACTCACACTGACACACTGACACTCACACTGACACACTCACACTGACACACTCACACTGACACACTGACACTCACACTGACACACTCACACTGACGCTGACACACTCACACTGACACACTGACACACTCACACTGACACTCACACTCACACTGACACACTCACTGACACACTGACACTTACACTGACACACTCACACTGACGCTGACACACTCACACTGACACACTCACACTGACACTCACACTCACACTGACACACTCACTGACACACTGACACTCACACTAACACACTCACACTGACACTGACACACTCACACTGACACACTCACACTGACACTCACACTCACACTGACACTCACACTGACACACTCACACTGACACTGACACAGACACTCACACTGACACACTGACACACTCACACTGACACTGACACACTCACACTGACACACTCACACTGACACACTCACACTGACACACTCACACTGACACTCACTGACACACTCACACTGACACACTCACACTGACACACTCACACTGACACACTCACACTGACACACTCACACTGACACACTGACACTGACACACTCACACTGTCACACTCACACTGACACTACCCCACCCCCGTGTAACCGCTGCAGGCGAGTCGTGTCGCTCCGTGTCGTGTTAAAGAGCCAGTGGCCTCCACACGTCAGCAGTGGGAACACAACGAATGACAACCCCCCCCACCGTGCCCGGCACACGCCGTCCAGTATACCTCGACGTCTTTGCGGCTACCACAGCCGCTTAGCGCCGCTGCCGTGGACCTGGTCTCTCACGCCGTGGGTGCGGAACGTCGGACATCACGAACATTCCCGACTTACCGCAGAGGAGGTAGCGTCCGGTGAAGTCGCCATCTCCCCGCGATGGCCTCGCGCAGGTGGGGCGGGGCCTCGTGCAGGTGGGGCGGGGCCACGCGCAGGTGGGGCAGGGCCACGCGCGCAGGTGGGGCAGGGCCACGCGCGCAGGTGGGGCGGGGCCACGCGCAGGTGGGGCGGGGCCACGCGCGCAGGTGGGGCGGGGCCACGCGCAGGTGAGGCGGGGCCACGCGCAGGTGGGGCGGGGCCACGCACAGGTGAGGCGGGGCCACGCGCAGGTGGGGCGGGGCCACGCACAGGTGAGGCGGGGCCACGCGCGCAGGTGGGGCGGGGCCACGCGCAGGTGGGGCGGGGCCACGCGCAGGTGAGGCGGGGCCTCGCTTAGGTGAGGCGGGGCTACGCGCGCAGGTGAGGCGTGGCCACGTGCGCAGGTGGGGCGGGGCCACGCGCAGGTGGGGCGTGGCCACGCGCAGGTGAGGCGGGGCCACGCCCACAGCCTTACACCAGCCAATCAGCACCCTGCGAATGGCCCTATACGTACATAATATAATAGGCGACGTTTCAGGTCGTGACCTTTCTCCATAGCACATAGGCCGTTGGAGAGGTAAGTGTCAAAGCAATTTCAAGTGAATTAACTCACACGGTGGCTAGGAGATGTTAACTACCTCGCCTGGTGTGCAGGAGGTCGTGGGTTCGACCCCGACCCTGACGCCTGCTGCTGCTGCTGTATTTTTGGAGTTTGCGTTTCTCTCTCCCCGTGGTCGCGTGGATTTTTCTCCGGGTCCTCTGATTTCCCCCCCCCCCCCATCCACATTGAGAATGAACGTCACCACGACGTTCAGAGTATTTGTCTGCTGCGATGGATATCTACGTGATGATGATGATAGTGGTGATGATAGTGGTGATGATGATAGTGATGATGATAGTGGTGATGATAGTGGTGATGATAGTGGTGATGATGATAGTGATGATGATAGTGGTGATGATAGTGGTGATGATAGTGATGATGATAGTGATGATAGTGGTGATGATAGCGATGATGAGGATAGTGATGATGATAGTGGTGGTGATGATGATAGTGATGATAATGGTGATAATAGTGGTGATGATAGTGATGATGATAGTGATGATGATAGTGATGATGATAGTGATGATGATAGAGATGATGATGACAGTGATGATGATAGTGGTGAAGATGATAGCGATGATGATAGTGGTGATGATGGTAGTGATGATGATAGTGGTGATGATGATAGTGATGATGATAGTGATGATAGTGATGATAATAGTGGTGATGATAGTGATGATAGTGATGATGATAGTGATGATAGTGATGATAAGAGTGGTGATGATAGTGGTGATGATGATAGTGATGATGATAGTGGTGATGATGATAGTGATGATGATAGTGGTGATGATGATAGTGATGATGATAGTGGTGATTATAGTGATGATGATAGTGATGATGATAGTGGTGATGATGATAGTGATGATGATAGTGGTGATGATGATAGTGATGATGAGAGTGGTGATGATGATAGTGGTGATGATGATAGTGATGATGATGGTGGTGATGATGATAGTGATGATGAGAGTGGTGATGATGATAGTGGTGATGATGATAGTGATGATGATGGTGGTGATGATAAGCTCACTTGAGCTATCATGCGTGATATCCAGGTCGCTTCTGACCTGGATGTCACGCAGCTAAGCGGAGCCTTAGGGCCGTCCATAAATGACGTCACGCACCTGGAGGGGGGTCAGACATTTGTGACGATGTGTGACGAGGGTGGGGGGGGGGTTGAGAAATGTGACGTCACATCAAAATGCGCAACTTTAAATAAATAAAGACGACACGTTCTACTTAATTAAATAGACTTTTTTAAATAAATGTTTTCTCCTTCAACATCAGAGTGCAGCGCCACATTAAACACGCACTACAATGTGACAATAGTTTAAAGCGATTTGAAGCATTGGTTTTATTTTCAAAATGGAAATATGTTTTTTTGGAGGGGGGTGGGGGGCAGAGCTTTGTGACGTCATATTTGAGGGGGGGGGGTCTGACTTTTTGTGACGCCGTGTGGCGAGGGGGGGGGTTAGGTTAAAAAATTGTCCAAAATCGCGTGACGTCATTTATGGACGGGCCCCCATTACCTGGTCAAACGAAATAAATAAAAAAGTTGAAATAGTTTGATTTAAAATAATAAAAAATAAAAACTCCATGGGCAAAACAAAGGAGGCCATCGCCGGTGCTCATTAAGAAGGGTCATTGCCCGAAACGTCGCCTGTTTATTGGCACGCGAATCGGGCGATGCACGTGCGCACGCGTGGAGTCACGCCCCCCGTACCGGGATGATTGACGGCACGCGGGGTCCGCCACGTGACAACATAACCAAAGACAAAGTTCCCCATGTAGCCTCGACAGACTGTAGGGGCAAGTGCTGTTAGCAGCACGGCACACGAGAGGGGTGGGTGGCCAACACCACGCCCGGCCGCCTTTGTCTCCCCAGTGACGATGTTTTTATTCACCGCACCAGGTACTCATTTTAGGCTGAGTCGACCTAGGGGAGGCCCAGGACCGGTTCGTATAATCGTCACTGGTGTTGGCCGCGAGCGGGAATCGAACTCGGGTCGCCGGGTTCGTAGCGCAGCTAAGAGCGACACCACCGCTCCACCCTTGGCCACAGAAGGCGACACGCACACAACCCGCGGGTAAGAAGGGAGTGTGGAACAGATGGAGATTAGTCCACACACTCTGATGTACCGCCTTCTCACGGCAGAATCTGGGGGTACGGCTCCTCCTCCACACACACCCACAGGGTTAGCAAGGGAGTGTGGAACAGATGGAGATTAGTCCACACTCTGATGTACCGCCTTCTCCCGGCAGAGTCTGGGGGTACAGTTCCTCCTCCACTCACACCCACAGGGTTAGCAAGGGAGTGTGGAACAGATGGAGATTAGTCCACACACTCTGATGTACCGCCTTCTCACGGCAGAATCTGGGGGTACGGCTCCTCCTCCACACACACCCACAGGGTTAGCAAGGGAGTGTGGAACAGATGGAGATTAGTCCACACACTCTGATGTACCGCCTTCTCCCGGCAGAATCTGGGGGTACGGCTCCTCCTCCACACACACCCACAGGGTTAGCGAGTGTGGAACAGATGGAGATTAGTCCACACACTCTGATGTACCGCCTTCTCACGGCAGAGTCTGGGGGTACGGCTCCTCCTCCATTCACACCCACAGGGTTAGCGAGTGTGGAACAGATGGAGATTAGTCCACACACTCTGATGTACCGCATTCCCCCGGCAGAGTCTGGGGGTACAGTTCCTCCTCCACACACACCCACAGGGTTAGCGAGTGTGGAACAGATGGAGATTAGTCCACACTCTAATGTACCGCCTTCTCCTGGCTGATCCTGGGGTACGGCTCCTCTTCCATTCACACCCACAGGGTTAGGGAGTGTGGAACAGATGGAGATTAGTCCACACACTCTGCTACACCGCCTTCTCCCGGCAGAGTCTGGGGGTACAGTTCCTCCTCCACACACACCCACAGGGTTAGGGAGTGTGGAACAGATGGAGATTAGTCCACACTCTGATGTACCGCCTTCTCCTGGCTGATCCTGGGGTACGGCTCCTCCTCCACACACACCCACAGGGTTAGGGAGTGTGGAACAGATGGAGATTAGTTCACACTCTGATGTACCGCCTTCTACCAGCAGAGTCTGGGGGTACGCCTCCTCCTCCACACACACCCACAGGGTTAGCGAGTGTGGAACAGATGGAGATTAGTCCACACTCTAATGTACCACCTTCTCACGGCAGAGTCTGGGGTACAGCTCCTCCTCCATTCACACCCACAGGGTTAGGGAGTGTGGAACAGATGGAGATTAGTCCACACACTCTGATGTACCGCCTTCTCCCGGCAGAGTCTGGGGGTACAGTTCCTCCTCCACACACACCCACAGGGTTAGCGAGTGTGGAACAGATGGAGATTAGTCCACACACTCTGCTACACCGCCTTCTCCCGGCAGAGTCTGGGGGTACAGTTGCTCCTCCACACACACCCACAGGGTTAGCTAGTGTGGAACAGATGGAGATTAGTCCACACACTCTGCTACACCGCCTTCTCCCGGCAGAGTCTGGGGGTACAGTTCCTCCTCCACACACACTGTTGTATATATAGGTGTTATGAAAATTGATGAAAATAATGAAAATTAAATGAAATTTGAGATTTGCATAATTTATCCTAAATTATGTTAATTAGTGTAATTATGCGCATAAATTATGCTGATTCGAGAGATAATCGTATTAATTTATGCGGGTGGGCGTGGTTATGATAATGCAGGTCGTTATGGATTATCAGGTCGAGCCTCGGTGACGAGGATTGTGTTATGAATTGGAATAACGCAATTAATCGTATGCAGTGACGCAGGCGTTGTGAGCGTGAATGAGAGAGAGACGATTCGACTCTGCTCTTTAATTCCGAACGCTCTCGGTCTGTGTGCCGTGGAATTGAGCACTGGTCTGACTTTGCTCGTGGTCTCCACACGTTGCGATTCTCGCAAATACGCGTCCCTGCATGCTGCGATCGCTCCTGGTCTGCGTGCCATTGTCTCGTGTAATTGTTATTTGACCACCCGTGTATGTAATTATGTTGGTAATCCGTGGGTGCTTTTTGTTTTCTGCACTGTGGGCCTGCGTGCATCAAATGCCTCACATGTTTTTTTTATTTTCGTCTGATAGGCTGGTTGCCTTGTCCCGTTCACTGTGTGCTGTGAAATCATTGTTTTTAGCCCGGTACAGCCAAGCCATGTGTGCCCGATCCACTATGTGGTCTAAGGAGGCTGTCTCTGGATTCAAGACCATTCCCACAATTTCTGTAATCTCTGGACTCAAAGATCCAAAAAACATAATTTTGAACCTTTTGTCACCTTCGTGATACTGATCCACATCGCCCGCATAGTACGCTCTTTTAAATCGCATGAGGTAATCCCGAGGATCCTCGTCTGCACACTGGGTCATAGATTTTGCAGCGTTAAATCCCTCAGACAGTGTTAAATATTCTCCAAACTTCCG